TCTACTTCTTTCTTTTATAACCATCTCGTATGTAGTTAAACATAAATCAAATTCATCTTCTCGCATTTCTTCTGTAAATATTTTTTCTCTTTGTTCTTTATTTCCATGCAAACGAACTGCGCGTAGTTGAGGGCACCTAAAAAAAAAAAATAAAATAAAATAAAATAAAATTAAAATAAATAAAATTAAAAAAATATATATGAATAGGGTCTATTCAGGTTTATTAGGGTTTATTAGGGTTTAGGGTTTATGAGGGTTTATCCCCGTCTAGGGTTTATAAGGGTTTAGGGTTTAGGGTGTATCCGTGTCTAGGGTTTACCGGCGTTTATTAGGGTTTATTAGGGTTTAGCGTTTATCAGGGTTTATGAGGGTTTAGGGTTTAGGATTTATCCGTGTTTATCCGTGTTTACTAGGGTTTACAAGGGTTTACAAGGGTCTACTAGGGTTTAGGGTTTACAAGGGTTTACAAGGGTTTCCTAAGGTTTACAAGGGTTTACAAGGGTTTACAAGGGTCTACTAGGGTTTACAAGGGTTTACAAGGGTTTCCTAGGGTTTATTAGGGTTTACAAGTGTTTACAAGTGTTTACAAGGGTTTACAAGTGTTTCCTAGGGTTTCCTAGGGTTTCCAAGGGTTTACAAGGGTTTAGGGTTTACAAGGGTGTACAAGGGTTTACAAGGGTTTACAAGGGTTTACAAGGGTTTCCTAAGGTTTAGGGTTGATTCGGGTTTACAAGGGTTTACAAGGGTTTCCAAGGGTTTAGTGTTTCCAAGGGTTTAGGGTTTACAAGGGTTTAGGGTTTACAAGGGTTTACAAGGGTTTAGGGTTTAGCTAACCACTTGTGTGTTTCACAGAACCAGTTATCTAGAGTGGAGCGAGGACAGATGATGAGGTGGGGGCCCCCAACACCTCTATTAAATTTTAGAAACCCTAATAAAGAAATACACTGCAGGGTTTTACCTAAACCCATTTCATCTGCTAGGATTCCGTTTATGTTTAGCTGTATACACAAACACATATTTATTTATTTATTTATTTATTTTGTTTGTTTGTTTGTTTGTTTGTTTTGTTTTGTTTTGGTTTTTTTTTTTTTTTTTTTTTTTTTTTTTTTTTTTTTTTTTTTTT